AATGGAAAAAAAATGTAATCCTTCTGTATGGTGTTTAAAGATTTTTCTGAGTGAATAGAATTTGTACAAGGTCTTACAGTGTTTCAACAGATGTAAAACAGTTAATCTGAATTAGAGCCATATTTATACTGATAGGTAGGCGACTCAAATGTGTGACTATGTCATGATATAGCAGTGGAAGACCCCTTCAAATGCAGTGAGAATGTCATATGTTCTTGTACTAAAACATACATGGATGGAAACCAGCAGTTTACACTATTGATGCTCAGTTTATATTGAAAAGGCTGAAAAAGAGGAGGGAAAAAAGCAGAGTTTGGCTGAGAGCCTCCATTTCAGTTGTCCAGTACATTTACACACAGGGATGTGACGAGAAGTGATACTTCAGTACCAAGTCAATGCCAAAGTTCTGACAATGTGACTCGTTGACTTGTTTTAACAGTGCCAAAGGGGTACTGTAGGGGTACCAAAGACACTACAGAGGTCGTAGATACTGGAAATATGATATATTTCTGGAACTGATGGGGGCAGTATAATAACCCTACAAGTGTTCTAGTCGGACGTCAAATGCAAAGGGAAGAAGAAGTAGAAGAAGAAAGGCAGACGGAGCAACAATATCAACAACATGGTGGTATCAGATTTGGTATCAAGAATTGTTGGATTCCATCATATTGGTACCGATTACCAAATATGGTGACATCCCTTCTCTCCCACCACAAACCTTTTTGCTTGCCATTCTTCATTTGTTTATTTACCGGTATGTCTCCCTTGGGCGACTCACAATTGACATCATATCAAACATTAAAAAAAATCTTTGAGATATATTGGCAGCAATTTGGATCTGAGGACTTAAGATTAGAATCTTTACATATCACACATTATATGATTTTATCACCACCCACTGACCCAGACTGGAACAGAACTGGTCCACCCTGGTCCATTCAGTTGTCACACCCAAATCATATTCATCATCAATATTTGTAGTGCTGGTAAATATAAATATACATTGGTCAAAACAATAGTTGCGTTATGAAAATGTAGCACAGGACAACAGTGTTGTCTTATTTTGTTTAAAGTGTCCTTTGTCTTATCTCTATTAATTCAAATCAGAAATGTAGTGACCTACTGTAACACGTCTGTTTGTTACACGAGTATTTAGACAAAGTCAAACATGCCTTGCACGGGCCAGTATGTGTACAAAACACATTTTTATGAACATATTGTAGATTATTGAGTCACATTTCTATAGTTCATGGCTGTATGAGTAAATGTTGGGTGAATTTATTTTGTGAACTGTGTGCGGGTGCATTGTGTTGTTCATACGTGTGTGTTTTTGGGGGGGAGCTTGTGTGGTCTTGTGTCTGGTACTAACTCATCCGGCTATTAATTGTGTTAGCACCGCAGCTGTTTGCATTGGCCAGATTGAGAGCAGCGCTACAGGGCCCTTCTGCTTCTCTCCACTGGGATGAGCTTCCAGACCTCCTCATTCCCACTGATCCCAACCAAGCTTTTCATTTTTTCCTCTATATTGCTCTGCGTCTGTTTCTCCCCTCTTTTTTTTTTTTTCTATCTCACCCATTTCATCTCTGTTTGCTTTATATTTCTCTGTGTGTATCTCTCTCTCATGGGAGATGACAGGCTAGTTAGCAGAACAAGAGGGAGACATTCCTTCACATGCTGTTCATTTTTGTGGAGCTAGCGAATAAATGACATATGTGCTCCCCACCATCCCCACCCCTATGTCCATCCCTCTCCATGTGTCTGCACGAAAAGGGCATAAGAGACAGAGCGTGTCAGCATGGAAGAGTGGGGGTGTGACTTTGGGCTCCTCCAGACCTCCTGGTTATGACCTGTGTCGAGGGCAGGTGGTCGGCCATCTCTTCCCCAGTCTTGGACATCCATTCTTGGGCCACATGTCGGCTTGTCTTAAAGAGATGATTGACTCATGCCGCGTGAATTCTTTCAATAAATTGGATTATGAATGGCATTAAATGGCTTCGAAACACTTCAGCTTAGAAATGTTTTTCTTTTGATATAAAAAGACTGCTAATGAATGTACTTACCTCTATTGCAATATATTGTACTAAAAGTTCTATTATAAAGGTTTTATGAATAAAATCTCTCGGTGTAAGATTTAATTTGATTTTAACTAAATTTACAGCAAAAATCTAGTCCCTCCTTGTAAACATCAATATAAATTGCTCAGAAAAGACATCAAGGATAAAAAAAAAAAAATAGATAGCTATGAATTTATGACTGTGTATTAGCATTAATAAATCATGATTGGTACCAGCCATCTGCCATGTTAAAGAATTGGTGGTTGGTATCCCCTTTTGAAAATATCTTGCAAGACCAAAGAGGATTCAGTCTTTGCCTTTTCAAAGTGACAGGTAACCTGCTAATACTGGACCCTGAAGACCACCGGTCATGAAGTACCAGTAAAGGACCTCCATAGTGCTATTGAAGGAGTTAACCCCCCACCCCCACCCCCCACCCCCTGAACGTCGTTAACACTTGACTGATGGCTTCTCTAACCACGAATGTGGCCTCTCAGTGTGTGTTGTGCCTGTTGGACCAACCTGTCCTGTGGTTATGTGGCTGGCTTGGCCCAACAGGTTGCAGTGGCTCTAGCCTTGGCTGCCCATCTGCCCCTGGCATCTGTCCTCACATCTGCTTCACCATGGTAGGCCAGGGGACGGACCCAAGGACAGCCTCCCCTCTAATGACTCTGACTTTAATGTCCAATCGGGCAGCCCTAACTTGACAGCTACCATGGCAGAGCTGTGGTTTAACTGCCGATTATTCTTTTCTTTTGTTCTGTACAGGCCTCTTTGGCCTTGCATTGGATCACTGAACTCTCCAGGGATAACCCATTGGAACAAGGACTTTTCATTTTAATGGATTGTCTTTTTTAAGAATTCTTACCTGCATAAATTAAAAAGATCTGTGTAATTATAGTAAAGTAAAGTAAATAACTGATTAAAGTCATTGGTTTTTGCTGGGAAGGGAGTCATGGTGTGCTAAATTTTATCACCATGTTTCATGTCTTCATGCATATTCATCAATTGATATTTAAACAATTTAAGTTAGATTTTTATGTTTTTTATTCTTTAGATCGTTCTTAGGCGCAAGCAGAGGCTAGATTGAGTTGGTTGGCAGCTGTGGGGCAACGTGTAGAATGCATATGGTACATTGACTCAACCTTAATTAGAATGTGTTTCACAAACTGTTTAGTAATTGTTTGTTAAATCTATAATGTGCGTTGTTTATACGTGGTCACCTGGATTCACCATAAGTGATAGAAATGTCACAATATTAAATACCGTTTGTAGCACAAAGCTCTAACGACAGGCAGGATTTTATAGATACAAGGGTGAAAAGACCTTGAAAAGAAATAACTGTAGTTTTCTCCTTTTTTGATGTTTTTCTATATTATATATCTCTCATTATTATTATTAAAGGGAGACATATCATGCTTTTTGTTATTTTTTCTCTTTTATATACTGTTGTGAAGTTGGCTGTCCATGCTACAAACAACATAGTAACATAACTGAAGTTCCAGAGGTGAATGTTAGAATTCTCCCTGTCAGACAAAAGCCCAGGTTTCAGTCTGCTCTGAACGCTCCACTCCATCAGTATTTTTCTACTTTCCTGTCACTCTGACTTGTGAACTTCATGGAAGACCAGAAATTTTTATCCAGCTGCAGCACGAACATGAAGGAAGTTGAACTTCATAATATAGTTCCTGGGCTGGAGAAGGTTATGATAAATGGGTGTAGATGACAGTTTGTGGTGTCTGCAAAGCTGCAGCTAAACCCTTCACCCATAAACACACCCCTGCTCTCCCGGACCCACCACACTCTGTATAGGAGGCCATCCATGGGTGGCTGTTGTGCTTCAGTCTAGTGACAGCCTGAAGACAACACAGGTGCTAGCTGCATCAAGAAAATAGTATTCACAGGAAGACGCTTCAGGATGACCAGTCTGACCTCCAGTCCGACCTCCAGCACCAGCTGACACAACTTTAGTATACAAGAAACCCTTTATCCTGATGGAAGACATGACTAAAGACTTTCACTGCTTTGTGCATCATGTATACCCGAGTTATATTTACATTTCATTTGCTGTAAATTAATTTAAATGTAGTAGTATTGATCCTGTGGTATTGGAGAAATACCAATAGAACATTTTTTTGTAATTACACATTTTACACAGGTCATATGAACAACTTATTTGATTTCATGTAGGAAAATATGATATAAGAGTTTTGCCAGTAATCCTTTATGACAAGTAGTTACTTGTCTTACTCTGTAAGAGACACAGGACATTCTCTGTTTGACACAATCTGAACTGTACATTATCTACAAAAATGGGACCATACAATTTAGCTGAAACTTTGACAAACATGTAAAAGCATAAATATGGTGTTGATTGTCTGTGAAGTAAAAACTGGACACAGCACAACTCCCACAATAGCTGATACTTTGGTTACTGAAGTAAGTTACTTAAGATCAGAAATTTCACTACAGTATGTCAGTTATGTTGACATGATACAGAACAGTCTTATCTATCTATCTATCTATCTATCTATCTATCTATCTATCTATCTATCTATCTATCTATCTATCTATCTATCTATCTATCAATCAGGATAATACATGAGGACAGTAGCTACAGTACTTATACTTTGATGTCTTTTGTACATTTATTAGGTATCTTTTTAGCAGCGATAATTATGACATTTTACATATCTTACTTTCCACCCACACACTGACAGTTACTATGTATTTATATTATATACCGTGCTTGGGGAATGCCAGCATGACTGAGTGCATTATTGCATGTTATGTCTGTGTGTCCTCACTACAAATTATTTCTCCTTCAGAGTGTACAGATGTTCCTGCAAAGACACATGTAAAACAAAATGCACGTATTCTGATTCCTCTCCCACTCTTTTCATAAGTTTGATCTTTATCTGTGTTTTTTTCTGTTTTTTTTTCCAGAGCTCCGCGCTTCAAGGGCTACCAACAACAAGACAGCCAGGAGCTTCTGCACTACTTACTGGACTCCATACGAGTAGAAGAAACTAAAGTGAGCTAAGACACAGTATGCAGCTTACACATATGCATGTATTCGATTAACTTTAATAACTTTAAAACAGCATTTACTCACATGCTTTTTCCATGTCCACAATTGGCAACATGTTCTTTCAAAGTGTATGTTTTACCTTCTGTGGCAGAAAGGTCCTTTAAATCTGCACAAAGTGCTCTAGAACTCATGGTGTTATAAGTTTCTTTGCAAACGTGTATTGAACATTTGGTACAAGAAAATGTGAAAGAAATGAGGAGGCTGTATGTACATGCTTAGTCGGGTTATAACAAAACTTGACACAGTCCAAGGTTTTAGAACTTGATTCCTAAGTACAGCCTCACAGAAGCACTAGCATGACTGTAGACTCTCTGTTCTTGAATTCGATTCAGTAAATTGTACAATTTATTTAAAAAAAACAACAACAAAAAAGACAAAATAACCAAGCAGCAATAATGAAAGGCCAGAATACAAACATAATTTTTGTCACTGACATTTGTTGTCAGTCTTATCACCCCTCCATGCTGGAGTTCAGTAATGACACTTATTGTCGTGATGTAAGACTTGCGGCTGTGTGTTTGTGGGTGGCTGTCTGCATTGACGTAACCCAGTGGCCCTCTTTGCCTGGCTAGCCAGTTTCTGTGTTTTAACCTTATGGTGCCATGTTTTTGGCAAGTGCAGGAAGCCCCCACTCCCCCCCCCCAAACCATTCACAGGGCAATTAGGAGACCCCACAGCAGAGCTGGCCCCTGTGGCCCCACCAGTGGCTACGTGAGCCAAGGAGGAGAAGTTAGCGGGTGTGTTTAGTGGCCAGCCCCAGGCCCAGGAGGGGCCGCAGGCTGGGCTCCACTGCTTCCATTCAAACTTGTGAACACTGACAGTTGTGCCACTTAGAGGACTTGCAAGTGGCACGACCGACATCATTGTGTGATCTTGGGAAACCCACAGCTGCTGAATGAGCTCCGGGGCTGTCCCATTGTGCTTGAGGGTCACCCACGGCCCCCTCCTGCACACACACACACACACACACATACACTCATCAGCCCGTCTCCCAATCCAATCAAGGAGGTAAAGAGGGAGGGGGTACGGGTACGGCCTCCCCTATTCATTCACTCAGAAACTCATTTATACATCCAAGCAAATTCAGAGATACCGTGGCATTTTAGATAGGTTGTTGAATAATTTTTAAAATGAACACAGACATTAAAACAAACATATTTTAGGAGTATTATTAATAAATCTCTGAGTCAAGCATAGGGAAAACATGACACAAAGTATTTTTTTTCAAACCTGCAGCAATTAATCTTTACTTAGCGATCTTGAACAGGGACAGTGATCTTGAATAGTAACACAAAAATACAGCACAATAAACACTCACACACTGTCCTCTGTGTGTGTGTGTGTGTCAGAGAGGGAGACTGGTGTTTTTGCAGTGGGTGGTACCAACCTTTTAGAGGCCCTAAGTGTTTGTGTTGATTGGTCATTAGTATCAGAGATCTGAATATGCTAATATAGCCCCAGTCAATTATCACCAATTAGCTGAGACGGTAGGTATTACTCTCTCAGGGCATGGACTGTCCTTCTTCACTCGTCTTAATTTTAGTTTCCACCCATGCACCCTTCTACCAGTAACCATCTCCACCGCCCACCCCCCGCCCTACAACCCCCCTCCTCCTACAGCCTATCCTGTGTAGAGCAGTGCATGCTTTTACTTTGGGGAGGGCTAGAGGGCTGGGTGGGGGTTACTGGTAATTAATTAGTATGAGAGCCCGAGCCTGGTTTGACTGTGCTGACTGAGTGGGGTGCAGACTGGCTAGGCTGGGATTAACAGGGCTTTTTGACCTAAATAGCCAGTCCAGTGCGTGGTTCCCGGGACAATGGGGGCCGACTGGTTTCGACCGCAGATACAGACCATGGCCAATTATCTATTGATTGGTGCTTTACTGTGGCTGTGTCTCTTCACAGCTCTCTCACCAACACTCACTGACCATGTCACCTTCAATAAGAGGGCCCCACGAAGAACTTACACACACACAAACATGCACAGTTAATTATGAGATTTACATGTTAATGTTTTTAGACAAGCACAATAATTATTTTACACTAATGATGCTTATAATAGGTATACCTGTCAATCTCAGCTATTGACTAGACTGTGATGTGTCAGTAATGGGTGTAATAGAGAGAAATCTAGAAAAATACAACAAAACCACAGAGTGAAATTAACTTTAATTTATATGATTTTTGCTTTAATGAATGTCACTTAAACGCAGCATTGTTATGTTGTTATTGTGTTTGTTTGCAGAGGGTGAAAGCTGGCATTCTGAAAGCTTTCAACAATCCCACAGAGAAGACGGCGGACGAGGAGACAAAACGCCAAGTCAAAGGTGCATATGCTGGCTACACTAGACAGATGACCAAGACCAATAGTCCCACCTTGTGGCAGTTAATGGAAATACAGCTAAGATACTAATCAGGCAGAGGGCAGTTTGAAGAAGGATAGGAGAACAGTAAAGTCTTTTTAAGTGATTTTTCCACTTGTTTTTTTGTTTTTTTTAAATCACCACCCTCTTGAGTGCCTCAGATTTTGCCAAGAATCCAGAATCTCAGTAGCATTTTAGAGTGTCATGGTATTCTTTGGAAAATTTAAAGCGTGCCGTGATGTTTTTTTGTGGAGAGCAGCATCTTCCTCCGTCATCATCTGCCATGGCCGCAATGCTCAGTGCTATAATGTACCGTGAAGTGCTGTGGTAAGCTCATGAACCAAGATGTTAACCAGCTCCAATGATACCGTTTGTCAGACTAAGGACTGATGAATATCTAAACTCTTTGAGATGACTTTGTAACACTTTGCAGCTTTATGCAAATCAGCAACTCTTGATCATAAGTTAAGCTCTCTTTTGTGAGGCCTGGTTCACAGAAGATTCTTCTTGTGAATAGCTAACTCAAAATCTTTGAGTGTTTTTAAAAGCTAGCTCTAACCTGGAACCAATCTGGTTTCATTGACTGGACTCCAGGTTTATTAACTCCTGACTCCAGTTAGCCATTGTCCATGTTCACTTACTTTCTTTGGCCACTTCTGATTAACAGAACACTGTGTCTTTCTTTTCCATCAGCGTACGGAAAGGAAGGTGTGAAGATGAACTTCGTTGACCGCATCTTTGTAGGCGAGCTGACCAACACAATTATGTGTGAAGAATGTGAGCATGTAAGTGTGTGTGGGTGAACTATAGCAAAGGATCTGAATAGTGAGTGTTGGCCAATCAGGCAACAAATATAAAGCACAGCAGGGTTGACTATTTCACGTTTTTTTTTTCCCTGACCAACCTTGTATTCAGACAAAAGTTACTTCTTATGTGTGTATCTTGTGGCCTTAACAGACACCAGATCTCAACCTGATTAAACAACTACAGTATGAACTATGATGAACTAGATTTCGGACCAGCATGTTAGGCAGTGCTGTCATTGAAGCTGTTCTGGCAGCATGTGGTGACCCAACACCTCACTAATATCGGTTTTTCCATTCAATTTTTAAATTTGTCACCTGTCTGTGTAAACATATATAATTTTTTTCCTGCTGCTTTAAATTATTGCTGCTGGAAGCAAAGAAGATTGCCAAACAATTTCCAGCATCACTAGCATTCTCCATTACAGTCATGAATGAGCAGATGATTGTTTACTAGCTGTTACACGCAGGAAGCATTTCTCACTACCCACAAAAAATTTCATGAAATAGGTCAGAGGAAACAACAGAAATCATCAGAGGAAAGAAAAAAAAACAAGCACTTCAAGGACCAGCTCAAACACCAACTGTTTGCAGCAGGCATTTACAATAAAATGTGGGAGCTCTGGGTCGTTGACAAAACAAATGCCACAACGCAAACTAAAATATCCTTGAAGGTAGAGAGTACCTGGTGAGGAGCTGGAGTAGAAAAAGCAGAGAAACAGCCGCTTCCCACATCTCCTCTCAGACCTTTTGAAAATGTGAACAACTGCCTAAGGAAGATGATAATTACATATGCAGACACTTATATGTGATTCTTCTTTCAGATCTCCACAGTAAAGGAGGCTTTCATAGATATCTCTTTACCCATCATAGAGGAGAGGGTGAGTTGCTCCAATTGTTCATGTAAGAGGATGATGATTGACACTTTAATACACTATGAGTGAGTTAATGATGTAATACTACACTTTACATTTCTTTGCATGCCTCCTTATTATCAGCAGATACAGTTAAGCAGTGGTTGGCTGTATGTTATGTTTTCATAAAAAAAAAATTTATTTTATTGTGCTCAGATGTCAAAACCATCCAATCCTGGGAGGCTGGGCAAAGGCAGCAGGGAGCAGGACGCCCACGCAGCTCACACTGACCAGGTTCTTTCTGCAGCGCACTCTGTCAACAGAAACACCAGGAAGCTGAGTGGACAGGTAAGAGTGTGTACATGCGTGTCTGAACGTATTGTGTTGTGTTGTAGTTGCTTTTCATCCCTATGAAAAGGGTTTTTCTTTACTGTTCACATTCACACTTCTGATCAGGTAATTATCTTGTTTGTTTGTTTGTATGTTTGTTTGTTTGTTTGTTCTTTTTGTTTTTCTGAATCATATTAATTATGTTTCTATTTGTCTGTAAACTGATGCACATACACATGATTGTACTGTGCAGTGCTGGGGCCAAATGCACATATCTCATTCACTCATGTTAGTTTCAATTTTTATGACGTCACAGTGAAGTTGACCTTTGACCTTTTGAATAGAAAATGTTATCACTTCATCCGTTCATCCTATTAGACAATTGTGTGAAATTGTGTCATCATTAGAACATAAATTCTAGAGTTATGTTGAGTTAGTGTTTTGAGAGGTCACAGTTACCTTGACCTTGGACCTTTGACCTTTGACCAGCTCCAGCCACTCAGCAGCACAAATTTGGCACAAACATTCACTTGGAAAGATGAACTAATCAGATTTTGGTGATCAGAGGTCAAAGGTCAAGGTCTCTGTTACATCATAATGCTGCGCAAAAACACTTTCCTGGCCATTATTCAACGCTGTAACTCAAGAAGGGGAGATTTTGACTATATTTCACATTTGCTCAGACACTGACACAAATTTTGGGTGCCCATCTTCAAACTATGGTGATTGTGTAGATCTTTTGTGTTGCCGCGTTGAAGATGTGAGTGAAGGATTCATATTCTATAATTTGTAGCTTCTCTGCAGCAACATTGGCTGCAAGGACGCTACACCTTTGTGTTCTATCATAATCAGCTTTATTGGCCAAGCTTGTGATCACATAAAAGGAATTTGACTCTGTTTGTTTCTCTCAATGGACTTACACACTAATACAATCAACAAAGAGCAGAACAAGAACAACAAATACACTATAAATACAATATGTACTCAAAAGTGAAATTTACTTTTTAACTCTACCACCAATAGAGATGAAAGGGAATTACATGATGTCAAATTAAACGTGGTGTAATGGTGGGGAAGTTGGTAGCTTATCTTTAACCTCTGAAATCTTTCCCTTCCAGTTTCCATGTTGACTTGAGCCGCAGATGTTCAGTAAAGACTGTTTACACAATGCCACTCCAGACTAAGTAACATGGGATACTTATGCTGATTTAGGCAGAGGGCAAGTGTTCACTGCAAGTGTTTCGATCGTTGTATTATATTTGTGCTGAGAGAGCAGATTCTTTTTTTGGTAAATGGACTTGCATTCATATAGCGCTTTTCAAGTCTTACTGACCACTCAAAGCACTTTACAATACCTCATACTTCACTCACATACATCACACTCATATGCACAATCACACACTGATGGAACAGCCATCAGGGCCAATGTGGGGTTCAGTATCTTACCCAAGAACACTTGGACCTGCGGCCTGGAGGAGCCGGGGATCGAACCAATTACTAGCAGTATAGCAGTAGTAGTATAGCTCTTGTAGCTTGTAAAAGTCTCTTTTCATAGTGAAATGTTCTGCTTTAAAGTGATTTCTGTGGTTAAGTGTCAGTATTTTAAGCATTCCTTCTTAAGTCTCCCATGAAAATGTTGCACAGAAGAATGTCAGAATCTTTTACACTGGAAATGTGAATTATTTTACACACTTTTGAGCTGTGCAAAAAATATTACAGAGGTCCCTCTGTAGTTGGTCAAAGCAACTTTTATGGAAAAATTATTTTAAACCATGACACTAACTGTGTCTCTGATAATGATAATGTGTCTGTTCTCCTTTCCCCAGAAGCAACAGAGCAGGAGGGCTTCAAGCTCTGTGGAGGAGAAGGGAGCAGGCTGTGGTGCGGAGCGACCAGAAGAGGAGGGGGTAGCTAGTGGATCAGCTCGTGGTGTTACAGTTTGCAAGATGGCCGCTGCGGGCAGCCTATCAGATGGCAGTGAAAGAGACTCAGGTGCTCAGGACAGCAGCAATGACGCTGACAGTGAAGCCTCAGAGAGTGAGTGGGCCCCACGCACCCCCTCCTCCAGCCATGGGCACGGGCACGGGCACATGTCCACTCCATCGTCAGCGTCCACCCTCACTCCATCTCCTACACCTGTCTCTGCCTCTTCCCCCTCCTCATCATCCTCCACAAGGCATGGTGGCGCCGTAGAGCAGCTAGTTTCTGCAGTGTCTAAAGTCAACCTGGGCTTCAGTTCTGGGGACTGCTTGCCTTCCACGCACTGTTCTCCAGAGGAGCAGGGAGAAGCACAGCCAAGAGATAACCTCCACCATCAGCACCACCAGGGAGCCTTCCAGGCGCTGTCCCACAGTTACACACCCAGCTCCAAGGAGTGCTCCATCCAGTCCTGCCTCCACCAGTTCACCTCTGTGGAACTGCTGATGGGCAACAACAAGCTACTGTGTGAGAGCTGCACTGAACGCAGACAGAAACAGCTGCGCAAGAGCAGCTCAGCTGGTAAGACAAAACATCTGGAACCACACTGCAAAGAGCAATGAGGATGAACAACCAGTCAGTGTTGTCTACCTGCAAATTTTATTTAAAATGATCACCAGATTACACTATACAGCTGATGAATACATCACAGATTTTCTGTAAGAAACCCTCTGTAGGAAACCCTTAAAGTGATACTCCACCTGAAATCCATCTTTTAAATATCAAACTCTCATTATCTATTTGATTTGTTGTTACAAGAGATTAATGACTTTGATTGTTTGAACAAAACAGAATTAATGTCTTAACAGTGAAACCTGACATGTCCGTGTGTTTCCGTTGTTGTTTGCACAGATAAGAAGGTGGAGAAGATTTACACCAGTGCCAGGAAGCAAATGCTGATATCCTCGCTGCCTCCAGTCATCACATTGCATCTTAAACGCTTCCACCAGGTTAGCAGCCACACAGCCTTTTCATCACTCTCCATTTTAGCAAACAGATATTCAAGTGCTTTTATATTTGTATATATCTCTGTTTTTTTTTTTTTTTGTTTTTTTTTATGTATCCTAAACAGTAGGGTTGCAAATTCTAAACACAATCTTTAACCGATCATTGGTAACATTAACAATCAATCAACGAATTAATCGTCATTAGTCTGCGAGCCCAAATGTTAGTGGCTGTGGTTCTGTTTTTGTGTTTTAAGGCAGGGATGAACTTACGAAAGGTGAACCGCCATGTTGACTTTCCACTGATCTTGGATCTGGCTCCATTCTGTTCAGCCTCCTGCAAGGTATGAAGCAACTAATCCAAAGTCAAAAAATATTGTAGTTGAAAGTGAATGACTCTCCTTTATGTCAAATTTACATTTTATACTATTTCACTTTTACTTTGCCAAAGGGTTTTGTTATTACTCCATGCTTCAGTAGTTCAGTTTGTAATGAATGTCCTTGGTTGGGACTGTTCCGGGAGGCTTCTCTCTCTCTCTTTTTTTTCTTTTTTTTTTTAGCTCTTTTTCCCTTTTTACTAATGTTTTTTTTTTTTTTTTCTCATTTCTGCTAGAACCTGGCAGCCGGTGAGCGTGTCCTCTACAGTCTGTATGGGATTGTCGAACATAGTGGCTCAATGCGGGGAGGCCACTACACTGCTTATGTAAAAGTGCGAGCTCCCCAGAGGAAAACAGAACAGCACCACAGGAACCTGTCAGGTCAGGGTTCAGGTTCTTTTCAAGACGGTTTATCTGTTTCCTGCGTCAGTGTGTTTGTGTGCACTTCATGAAAGTGGTCCGTATTTGTGCAGCAAAGGCCTAATTTCTCCTAAGCTTATAGATGTGCTCTATAAAAAGGGCACAATGAATTGAGATCTTCGTGTTGTATAGATCCATGTTGTTTTCTCTTTTTTTCTTTTCTCTTCTTAAGCAAAGTGTAGTGCTGAAAGGTAGTTGGAAAACTCAAAAAGCATTCGTCCTTGCTACTATCAAGCTAATATAAGACTTGACATAACTGGAGCCATTGCTATGTGATGACAGAGGGTTCAAACGTGTTATAATGACTTCTGACAGACTGTGTTCCAATCATGTAGTTCAGTATATACCTTCATCTCAGTTCACCTCCACACGCTGTCATTTGACTATATGTTAAAATATTAAGTCAACAAAACGCAATGTGTGCAACATCAAAGAAGGTCTCGTCCCCTCCCCGCTTCAGTAATCAAGCCTTATAAGACTGGAAAACTATGCTTTTCTCATTTATTACACAGTGTCTTTTATATAACATTACAGAATCTTACCTTCAGGATGAACCCTGACCAAAATAACAAAATATCTATGGTTGAATTGCTATACTAACCCACCTACCAAAGGAAATAAATGAAATAAACAAATAATTCTAAGTCCTTAACTGAAAATAAACAGAAGAAAAAGTAGTTTACGCATACAACTTCCAGAAAGCAGAGTATTTCTAGCAGATACAGTAGCTTTTAATGCTATTATACTATGTACAAGTTCCAGGTTGGAGACCAGCAAGGACAGCACTGCTTCTGCTCTTAACTACCAACCTGAACTGAACTGAAGAATATAAAGACAGGAACCACCTAACCCACATACACACACGCGCACACAGACAGAACATTGGCAAGTTTTGGCAGAGTACATCTTTCTCTAGGAATAGCATGATTTGTTGTTGCTTTGTTGCTGAGGAGCCGTCTTCCATGTGTGTTTACCTTGAACATGATAGTATACCCTGAATGGGCCACAGAGGATGAGTGCAAAACAATGCTTCCTACACGTATTTTCTTTATTTCTATATTTTTTCGTGACATCCCCACCCCAGGACAAGCACAACGGCAAATAAATACCCACTTCTCAACTGAAGCTTTGTGTGTCTTTTAGGTGCGCGGGAGGCCAGCAGCAGCTCCCAGGGCCAGTGGGTGTACGTCAGCGATACTACTGTTCAGACAGTACCAGAGTCAAGGGTACTCAACTCTCAGGCATACCTGCTCTTTTATGAGGAAATTCTGTAATGTAACCAGCGAACGTAGTTTTCCCTAGAAATTTTTCCCTTTGTATTGTTTTTGGTGCAGACTGTACAACTCCTCTTACTGTATCTGTGAGTGTGTGGAGGGAAGAAAAGGGAAAGACTTCACTGTACACTCACTTTTCATACATGAGAAGAATGGCCATTGTGTTATGTCCATGCAAACTCTTAAATCTAAATCTAAAATGGGCACTTCTAAATATCTTCGATACATAAAAGATTAACATCAGACATTGAAGTCATCATTTTCTGCTTTGATAGAGTCATTCATGTTTCTATTATAAAAATCCTACCCTTTAAAAAGAGGTCGAGTGAAAAGAGTGTTATTGAACCTGAGCTGTTCTGAATTTATTGTCTATCTCCGTCACGACCACGTGCCTGGGATTTAAACTGCATGAAGGAGTTTGTTACAGTAACTAACAGGAAATAAGCAGAGTTATTGCATGTTAAGCTGACTAGTTGATGTCAATACCGTATGTATGTGTGTGTCTGTGCACATACACACGTGTGAGTGAGTGAGTGAGTGAGAGACAGGAGAATGTAGTTTTAAGGTGTTGTGTGTACCATTTTCATATCAGTAAACAACTGCCAGATTAAATTGGCATAGTTGTTATAATTAACGTAATAATTCAGGAACATCATACAGAAGACTGGCTCCTCTGTCAGCGCACTACACAAAAGACTTGACCTTGTTTGGCACTGACTTAGTCGTGCTGAGAAATGCGTTTGACTGTTTCTGGTAATGGCAGATGATAGACGGTAGGAAACTGCAGCAGAACAATGAATTCAGACATGTTTGTCCTTTTTACTGAGGACATTTGAGCATGAGTCATGACAGAGTTTATGGGAAATATGGTCACACATCTGAGAGACTCTAGCGCTAATAATCCCAATGCTGTTGAATAGTGGCGAGTTATTGTTTCAGCCTCGGCCCCTGTTTGTTTATGATAATAATACAAACCAAATTATCAGATCTTACAGCAGTTTACATCGACACACTGATGGAAATTGCTGCACACAGCACCTTTAAAGAGTAGCACAAAACAGTTAACAACAGTTGTTTTTTTTTTTTACATCAGAATGTATAAATGTAATACTGTCAGTTACATTTGCCAAAGATGAGTTTTGCAGCTGCATGTCAGAGCAGAAAATCAGAACCAAACATCATACAGAGTTTATTTAATATTTGTTCTTTCAAGGTCATCAGTATGGTTCTCAAGTGCTGTTGCACAAACGATGTAAATCAGCCCAACAAAGCACCTTGTTTGCCTTTCATTGTATTTCAGCTCTACTATAACTCTGTAGGCGCTCACACAAAACCGTGAAGACGTTTGAGGAAGAGTCGACGCTACAGGACTGACTTTTTATTCCCTAATATTATCAATAAGGTCCAGCAAATAAGAAAACTATTTAAAAAAAAAAAAAAAAACCTTGAAGGCTTCAAGCCGGATGAGAAAAACATCTTTGCTGTAATGTGCATGGGTTAATGTTCAAATGAATGTATTGCCTATTCTTGAAATGTCTGTTAGATGAGCTGGTCATCTTTTTCTATGAAAATATTTTAGATGAAAACATTTTCTTGCTTGTTTGCCAAAACAGTAGAAGGAAAGGTGTGAAACATATGCATCAGAGTTCAGAGGTTTATTGTTTTCTTTTGAAATAAGGACAAATTCAGTGCCTGTGCTTCGGGTTTAAGAAATCTGTGCATGGTGAGAAGAAAAACATATGCAGAGTCAAATGCAAAGAGGGATATGTGTGGTGTATTTATGTACAGTATAAGTTACTGTAAGCAAAAATAATGAGTATATGTCATTGTACATAGGAGTAACAATTCACAATCATGGTGCTTCAGACGTGCAGGGTTTTTCCTCAAGACAGAGTTTTGTTTTGTTCAGTTTTGAAATAATAAACATTTGGAATGAGTATAACTACATCCTATATCAAAATAAATCTAATTTATGAACTGAATATTTCACAGGACTCGTCTCTCTTTATGCTGTGGCCTCTCTTGTGCAACAGCACTAGTAGACGAGAAATCACAATGGATTTTGTGTTTTTTGCTTTGGAATTGATGTCATCCTTTTTTTTTTACTGTAAGCGAGATGTTGTCCACCATTGCTCTCAGCTGTCACCGCAGATCCCAGGGCGCCATATTCAACCCATCTTCGCCGGTGATCGGCCCTGACGGGTGCAGAGCAGCACTGCTTCAGAACATGTCGCGAGCTGGTGAAGAGGAGGTGGGTGTGGAATCAGGAAAAGGGCAACGTCCAAAAACATCGCCTCACGGGTCCTCTCGTTCCCACACGCTGTGACATCCCAGTCATGCTGCTGGAGCTTTAAAGCAGGTTGTCAAGCCGCCACCAACAAAAAGATCAAATCTTTTCTGAAATGTATTTGTCTATTTTTAAAGTGGGGGTTGAGGCGGGGTTGGCTCATGGCTCTAGGACATGCTGCTGAAGCATTAGATGTGATTTAATCTCAGTTAATGAAAAGCACCCTCCCCCCTGTGTGAGACAGTTGTAAGAAACTAATAAGGTGGTGCTGGGATGTTCATCTACCAGCAGTGGAGGTTAAATCTTTCTGCTCTCACCATGTGACTGTCACTGTCACTGCCAGTCTCACCTAGCCTCACACCAAACCACAGACATGCATTAACACACAACACAACGTTTCACAGTGAACACACATCAACAACACAATCTTAACACCAATGTAGCACATGACAGAGCGCTGAACAACACCTGCAAATAACCCTTTTATACAACAAACTATATTTCAGACATGTCTTAGGAAACCTGTGACATCCAGTCAGAGCTGCAGAGCAACTGCACACTAGACTCTCCACCTGACTCTGTAGTTACAGGCTAATCAGACTCATTAGTCTGGCTTTGGAAAATGTTTCTATGTTAAACTTGCCATTGAAGTTTATCCAGGAAAGATAAACGTGTGCGTACAGTCCGCTGCCCTCTACCCATAGAAACATCTCTGTGCATTAAGAAGCACAAGCACTCGGGAGGAGAAAATGCTGGATTACCAAATGGTCAAACTAGACAACTGCACTGAGACATCAGACTCTCATGGGCCCTGAAGGCCCCAAGGCAATTACTGTGTGGTAATGTGGTGAATCACAGTTTCATCCAAAAAAAAATGAAGTGGCACACAATATAAACTGAAGTGGTAAGGATGTCAAGTCAAATCAAAGTTTATTTTTATAGCACATTTAAAACCAACCTCAGTTGACCAAAGTGCTGTACAAGCTATACAAATATAAATATAATCCACAATCCCTATTAACATAAATCAGCAAATTAAACAATAAAACATCATCAAATAAAACGAGTAAAATAAATTGTGCCAAGGTATCTTGCTCAACCAGGACTGAAGGCCAGCGAGAAGAAATGGGTCTTCAGCAGCGTTTTAAAATGATCAAGGGTCTGGGCAGTTTTTATGTGAATAGGTAGGCTGTTCCACAGACTGGGGTCCGCGACTGAAAAGGCTCTATCGCCTCTGTTTCTGAGCCTGGATCTAGGAATTTCCAAGAGCAACTGGTTCGTTGACCTCAGCGCTCTAGCTGGAGTGTGAGGCTGTAAGAGCTCGGACATGTAAGGTGGCACCATGCCATTGAGACTCTTAAAAACAAGTAGTAGAATTTTAAACTGGATCCTGAAATAGACTGGAAGCCAGTGTAGAGAGGCCAGTACAGGTGCGATGTGATCTCGCCGTGATCACGCCGTTTTTTTCCTGTCAAAAGTCGGGCTGCTGCATTTTGAACAGCCTGCAGGCGACGAAGTGACGACTGATCAAGTCCAACATAAAAAGAATTGCAATAATGGAAACAAGAGGTAATGAAGGTATGAATTACTCTCTCAAAATCATGTGGAGGGAGGTAGGCCCTCACCTTACTAAAGAGCCTTAATTGAGAAAAGCTAATCTTGACAACCGAGCTGATCTGTTTATCAAATCTGAAGGCACAGTCAAAAATCACACCAGGGTTCCTTACAACAGGGTGACAGTCGGAGGCTAATGGGCCGATGGCACTATCGTAACCATCTAAAAGGTTGGATTATCCAAATAGAATAATTTCTGTTTTGTTTTTGTTTTGTTTTGTGTGTGTGGGAGGTTTCTGTTTTTTTTTTTAATTAATCTTGTGGCCATGTGTCAAAATAAACTAGTTTTAATATTTCAGTTGATATTATGGAGTGTTGAAGGAAGTACTGAGATCTTTTACTTGAATAAAAGTAGTAATATCACTATGCAAAAATATTGCTTTACAAGTAAAGAGCTAACTTCAGTAAAAGTCTAAAGGTAATAGAAGCAAATGTGCTTTAAGTATCAAAAGTAAAAGTACTTATCAGGTGGCAGTATGACTCCTGTTATATTAGTGGATTGTTACTGATGATGCATCACTGCACGCAACATTTTAATGTTGTAGTTGGTCTAATTGGAGCAAATCTGCCTACTTTATTCTGTTGGATAGACTGATAACAAAGCGTTATATTTAATTGTAATAGTTTTATGTTTCAAATCTGAATCTGCAAAGTTACAAGTACCCACCGCTGAAAAATGGCCATCTCCCACTTTCTTCTGTTTGTGTTGAAAAGATTCATTTGTTTTTGTCACCTTGATATAAAAGTGGTCATGAAATGCAGCCCCAGATACTGAGCCTTTACAATATATGCAGTATTTAATATACAAATTACAGTATGTAACACAATTACAATGGCATGCCTTAATGCAATGCATTGCTAAAATGATGTTTTACAGAGGGAATTTGATTCTGTCTCTGAGTGGACCTGATGGCTCAGACACAAGTCAACATCAATAATAACTCCTACCTGTTATGGCGTTGAAGGACTCATCCACCCTGACTAGCTGCTGCGTGACGATCAGGTCATCCTGTACTGCAGAGGTGACAGGAGACTCATCAGCACGAGTGGTATCAAAGGCGGAGTGAGGATCTGGTGTGAGCGTTGGCTGCTGTTGGAGGTGTTGGTAGGAGGGTCAGGAGAGGGGTTCAGAAGAACTCGTGGAAGAGACATAACAGCAGATTCTGGGCTGAGTGCCGGCTGTTCCTCTGCTTCTTTTGTTCGAACCATTGTGGATGATGGAGTTAGCAGGAGGTTCAGCACTGCTGGTCAGGTCACCCTGCACTGTAGAGATGACAGGAGATGTTTTGTTGCCGTTTAACAGTCAAAGTGACAGCGAATATTTCATGACTGTAAGTGTAACAGTAGATTGGAGAGTGCTCAAACACAGTTGATCATTCAGACACAAAATGAACAGTGTGTTTTCAAGGTGAAGAGTGTGTGAAGCCTGCAGAGATTCTCATTGTAGAGTCACTGAAATCAACATCCAAGACCTCTTTGAGAGTACTATAACCATGAAATTATAAAAAAAACTACATATAAGACAGACTGAATACATGGGTTTTTAGTTTAGGTTTAAAAAATATCAAAATATTCAGCTCCTCTGGAAGACTGTTCCAGCAGCTTTGTGTGTAACAGCTGAAAGCAGCATCTCCAGATGTTTGTGTTCCTGGGCTCAGCTAAAAGAGAAGAACTGGAGGATCTGAGGGGACCTTCCTCTTCCTGGTTCATAAAGCAAAAGCATTTCTGGGAGGTTGTCAGGTGCAATGCCATGTAGTGCTTTATAAACTAATAAAAGAATTTTAAAATTAATACAAAAACTAATTAGTGTAAAGACTAATTTGGCTTAATGTGTGCTCTCCTTTTTGTCTTAGTCAGCACAATTTTGAATTAAATGTAGCTTATTTATTGTGCTAGAATCTGCTAGTTAAAAAAGTGTCTGTCTCTGTGTCGCTCAGAGAGAAATTTAAGTTTGGACATGCTCACTTAACCTAAGAATCTGGTGGTCTAAGGTGTCAAAGGCAGCACTCAGGTCAAGCAGCACCGGACCTGTAGGCTTGTTGGTACCAAGATTTGTACTGATATTGTTCACTACTTTTTAGTATGTTTGAGTTTGAGTTTAAAAAGGCGTTTAGCTCATTAAAAACTAGTTTCTCTAAAGATTTTGCTTAAAAATGTAAAAAACTGCATGTTAAAGTAGGTTTCCTTTTTATTTTAGTTTTTTAGAGAAGGTTTTACAGCCTGAGATTGTTGGTGTTGATGTTTATCAAACAAAATATGATTGTCTTGTAGCTACTGGAACATTAAACAGCTCCAGCATCTGATTAACCATAAATTTATTTTGGAATCAGTTCAATGTAAGCGCAGAATCAGCGCAAATAACAACGGTTGGAAATAACAGACTTTGGATTTTGACACAGACACCTTATACATCACAGGGTGAAGATGGTCAGGTAAGTAAACTGGATTTATCACAAGGACCTGGTGTGTCAATGGACATTATGTTTTAGTGGAGCATATCTCTATTCTCAAGCGAAATTACAATTAATCAAAACTT